ATAATAATGCATACACATCACACATACACACATATGCACTTAATGGTCACTGTGTGAAAAAAGTTAAACTCTTTAAGTATTTTATTTTAGGTAATTTTCATAACTACCCTGGGAAGTAGGTGCTATTGTTTGAGGCAGTATAGTTTGCTGTTTAAAAGCACGGACTTGGGAGTCAGACTGCCTAGGTTCAAATCCCAAGTGCCACTTACAAGCTGGGTAACCTTGGGCAGGGTTATTTAAGCTCTCTGAGTCTCATGCTTATCATATGTAAAATGGAAATAGTAATAGTGCCTGTCTTATGAAGCTGCTGTGTGGTATAAACGAGTTAATATGTGTAAAGTGCTTAGAACAGGAGTGGGCACAAAGTAAGCCCCCAGGAAGATTAGCTACTTTTGTTATTTCTATTAATAGAGACTGAGGTGCAAAAAGGCCAGTGGCTTGTCCATGGCCTCACACCTGCTGCGGGGCAGAGCCTGGGCACACACACAAGTCTGTCTTCAAAGCACACATGACCCAACACGGCTGATTCTAGCTCTGCGGCCCCCACCCCACCCCATTCACATTACCACCCGCATCCATGCCAACGTGGCCTAGTCTTTCTTGGTACCAACCAAGGCTGCAAGGTGCTAAAGGGAAGATACTAAAAGAACTGGCATTCTAACTGACTTAAACCCTGATGTGCCTGCTACGTGTAGAACAAACGCAAGTGTGTCCTGGTATGGGGATCTGTCCCTTAGCTAAGAGAAAACGGGCCTTTTCCAAGGAGGGAAGAACCTCTGCCTTTGGGCCTTTTTATGTGAGGCCTCACATGCTCTCCTCCAAACGCTGAGAGGAAGGCAAAGCCTGAATTGTGCAATAAAACCCCATCAGGTGAGGTTCTCTGAGTAGAGATAATGGGCCTGATTGCTGGTGGAGAGGGAGAAACAATTTGAGGGCCAATCCAGCAAGAGAGCCTCATGAGCCAAGATTACCACTCTGCCCTGGGTCCTGCCCTGCTCCTGGAAGGTTCTAGAAAGAGCCAGAGCCTTGCTAGAAAAAACACGTGCATCATAGAAAACCAAACCATCTGTTGTGGTACATATATACAATGGAATCTTAGCCATAAAAGGGAACGAAATGGGGTCATTTGTAGAGATGTGGATGGACCTAGAGACTGTCATACAGAGGGAAGTAAGTCAGAAAGAGAAAAACAAGTATCATATATTAACTCATATACGTGGAATCTAGAAAAATGGTACAGATGAACTTGTTTGCAAGGCAGAAATAGAGACACAGACACAAAGAACAAACATATGGACACCAAGGGGGGAAAGGGGGGGCGGGATGAATTGGGAGATTGGATTTAACATACATACACTAATATGTATAAAATAGATAACTAATGAGAACCTGCTGTATAGCACAGGGAACTCCACTTCGCTGTACAGTAGAAACTAACACAACATTGTAAAACAACTATACCCCAATAAAAAAAGCAAAGAAAAGAAAACTGAACCATCTGTGATCCAGAATGATCTGGGAGTGGGAAGCTTTGAAGCATTAACTCAAAGAAAATGACCCACAGCTGTAGTTAGTTAATACTATGGGTGCATACTATGTGCCAGGGCCTGTTCAAAGTCCTTTAGAAATAATATTCCATTTACTCTTCATATCAATGGTATGATGTAACCTGTATTTATTAGTCCCATTTTGCAGATGAGAAAACTGAAACACAGAAAATTCAAATAACTTCTCCCAAGGTCACACAAGCAGTCTGGCTTCAGAGCCCACGGTCTTTATCAGCATTTTCAAACCTTTTGGCCCAACCCACGGCATGAAATACATTCTACATCAGGACCCAGTATACACTCACACAGTTATATAGAACTGAAACAAAGTTTTAAAACAGAATATTACTCACCATTACCATGTGCAATGCACTCTGGTGTTTTCTATTCTATTCCATTAAAAAATATATATCATTCAACAAATATTTATGGAACACCTATTATGTGTTAGACACCGTTCTAGGCTTTGGGGCTAAGTCAGTGGATGAAAGAGATAAAAATCCTTGCCCTCTTGGAGCTTGCATTTTACCAGAGAGAGTGAATAAGATCCACGTGCAAAATCGTAGCATCTGAGGTGGTAATTTGGTGAGTGCTATGGAGAAAAGTAAAGCAGGGAAGGCCAAGGTGGCCAGAGAAGGCCTCACGATGTGTTCACTCCCCACTATGCTGATTTCAGTGGGCTGTCACCCACAGCGGGAAAACCTTGGCCCCTAATCTCTCCACTCCAGTGCCTCCTATATGTCTGGAGGCTCTTCCTCCTAGATTGTGCACACGTGCACACTTGTATGTGACTACGTGCACATGTATAGGCATGCATGGATGTGCTACATGCATGTATGCATACACATGTCCACCCCATTCGCTTCCTCACTGGGGACGTTTGGGAGACAGGAGGCAGGGCTCCCACATGCAGCTTTCCAGGGGCTCCCTACACAAGCCTGCCCTGCAGAGGGGGTCCTGGAATGGGGCCTAAAAAACAGCCCAGGCACTGTGAGCCAATGCCACAAGCGCCAGACATATGCCCCGGCTGGAGTCTTAAGTCAGAGGAAGGAAAATCTTTTTATCACTGGTCCACCCAGAGGGAGCACCTCTTGTAAACTGTTAGGCCAGAGGGAATGCTAGTTCCTAATCTGAATCAAGGTGCTCTATGTGCTAGAGTGCCATTAAGGATAGAGGAGACAGAGCACAAAAATAAAAATCACTCCCCGGGGAAAATCCAGTGCATCGAGCACACCTGGCAGGGTGATTGAAGTGGGTCTGGGGGGAAGACAGGATTGGGGCCAGCTCTAAAGCAACTCTGGGGGACTTCCCTGGTGGCACAGTGGTTAAGAATCCGCCTGCCAATGCAGGGGACACAGGTTCGAGCCCTGGTCCAGGAAGATCCCACATGCTGCGGAGCAACTAAGCCCGTGTGCCACAACTACTGAGCCTTGCGCTCTAGAGCCCGCGAGCCACAACGGCTGAAGCCCGCACACCTAGAGCCGTTCTCCGCAACAAGAGAAGCCACTGCAATGAGAAGCCCACACACTGCAAGGAAGAGTAGCCCCCGCTCGCCACAACTAGAGAAAGCCCACGTACAGCAACAAAGACACAACGCGACCAAAAATAAATAAATTAATTAATTAAAAAAATAATAAAGCAGCTCTGGGCCACTTGGGTAACCTCCACTGAGCGCATTTGGAACTTGGCACTAGAGTGAAATCTTCAGACTCCAAGTTAAAGGGGCACATAAAAATGTTACTAGCATGGGCAGCAAAAGCATTACCTATGGGAAAAGCAGTCAGTCTCTGCTAATGAGTAAGTGTAATTGATCACAACAGACGACTTGATGGCCATTCCAAATGCGCTTTTAGCAAAGCGGACAGTTCTTTTCATTCAAATGCAAGCTCACCTAGATAAGATCTAATAATGGAGATTTTGGAAGAATCCCAGCATCAGTGATTTCTTTTTTTTCCTCTTTCACTGAGCAGGAAGGCATCTTAAGTTCCTGGTCACAGTTTGACCCAATCAGATGACAATTTATGCTTTCCCTACGGCTGAGGAGACCGTGACAGTCCCTGGGGCAGCAAAGGATCAGTCACAGGACAGCCCACACCCTTATCTGTCCTTTCCTCCTTAGCCCTTTTCCCACTCCCGACCTATGGGGAGCTGGGTGGCTGGAAGACACATTCAATTCAATGCAGTCGGGCTTCCCTGGTGGTACAGTGGTTAAGAATCTGCTTGCCAATGCAGGGGACACAGGTTCGAGCCCTGGTCCGGGAAGATCCCACATGCTGCGGAGCAACTAAGCCCATGCGCCACAACTACTGAAGCCTGCGCGTCTAGAGCCTGTGCTCCCCAACAAGAGAAGCCACTGCAATGAGAAGCCAGCACACCACAACGAAGAGTAGCCCCCGCTCGCTGCAACTAGAAAGAAAGCCTGCGCGCAGCAACGCAGATGCAACACAGCCAAAAATAAATAAATTAAATAAAATTAAAATTCAATGTAATCATCCACTTATAAGTATTTATTGAGCACTTACTGTATGCAAGGCACTGTGCTGACCACCGAAAGGGGATTCCACCACAACATGGCTAAGACCGGGTCCTGTCCTCAGAAGAGAGGGCAGATATGAGGAGAAGCAAGAAAATGACAGGAGTGCCAAGTGGAGGTCCCAGCTCACTCCAACAAGCACTTAATCCTTCTGGGCTTCAGTTTCCTCCTTTATCAAATGAAGGCACTGCTCTAGACATGATCTCTGGGCACTAGGCCAGCTCAAAAACTCTATGATTCCAAGCCCTCCCCTTCCCACTCAGGCTCCTAGGCGCCTAGGAAGCTGACAGATCAGGTGGTGCCTCCTAGGAAGGGGACAGTCAGCAAAGGAAGCGGGTGGTGAGGATTATTATGTACCTTTCCCACAGTGGGGGTTCTTTCATTTTGGCCAGAACACAAGGTACAGGCTGGAGAAGATGAGCGATAAGTTCAGAACATTAAGTGGAAGATTTAGACTTCCACATCAAGGAATCTGGAGGAAATGGGAACCACTGAAGTTAGTGCAGAGAAGGATACTATCAGTGTGGGTGGCGCAAGGGAATCTCACCGACTTGCAGAGGATGAGTTGGGGTGGGGGGCGGGGAGGGCGGTGATGTTGCAATACAGAAGAAAGGCTGAGGTCTGAAGTGAAAGATTCCTCCCTTGGTCTGGTCGAGCGCCATGCATCATCCCCTCATCCCCTACCATCGCCATGATGCTTATTTTCTTAAACTTGCCCAAGCCGAAATCACTTTGCACCCTCTTTTTTTTTTTTTAAGTTCCACAAGTGCCTTCAAGGTAAACAGGTAAATTTTATGTCCCTTCTGCCCAGGCGCCTGAGGTTAAACAGAACCAGCGAGGTGTGCCAGGGAGGGGTGGGGAAGCGGCCAGCAGGCGAGGCCCAGGATACAAGAGGCGGGGATCTAGAGGGGTGCGCCTACCTGCAAAGGAGCCATCCTCGTGGTCGGAGCTGTTGTGGCTGCAGTCACTGCCCCTGTCGGGCGAGCTGTGACTGGGCGAGTCCCGCTCGGGCAGCCCCAGGAACCTCTTGCGCCGCCACGGGGGGAGGGGCTCGCGAGCCCTACGCTGAGGGAGCTCCTCTGCCGCCGGGGGCGAGCCCCGCCCGTCCTTGACCTCTGCCTCTAACTGCTCCAAGTCGCGGTTCCCGCGCGGCTGCCGCCGGCTCCCGAGGATCAGGTGCATCCAGCGATGGGAACTGTACACCCGCGCTGGCTTTTCCGCCTCATCGCAGGTCCCGGGCCGGCAAGGGGTCACGAGCAACTGGCTGGGGGTGAGTTTCTCGTTCAAATCCACCATCTCGAAGTCGTGGTCACTGCTGTCGCCCCCATCGTCCGCGCCCGAGGCGTCCAGCTCGTCATCCTCCGAGCCCCGCCCCGCGCGGGTCCGGGCGGACCGCTCCTCTCCCGGGGCGCTGGGAACTGTGCCATCGTGGCCGGGGGGCGCGCAGTCTTCCCGCGGCCTTAAGAGGAGGCGAGGCTGCAGTAGCTGCTGGTGGATGGCGGCGGTCAAGCTGCGAACAGCGCCCCCAGCCCCCGCCGCCCTGGGCCAGGTGGGAAGGTCCTGGCACAGGTAGGGGGGACTCTCGGCCTTCGCGGCCACCTCCGTGGAGGGGACCGACGGGCCCGGGGCGTCTCCGCCGCCGCCCGCTGCGCCCTCCTTCTCGAGCGGCGCCGGCCCCCCCCCCCGGCCCGGCCGGCTCCTCAGCCGAGGCCCCCCTGCTGTCCCCGTCTCCGCCCTCCAGGCGCCCGCAGCCGAGGTCCCGCTTCTCCAGGGCCGCCTGCAGGTAGCCGACTTTGAACTTTTCCTCAGCCAGCACCTGTTGCAGCCACTTCAGGTTGAGTTTGCTGCGCTCCAGCTCGCGCTCCATGTCCAGCACCGAGTCCAGCCGCATGACAGGCGCCTCCTCCCCAGGGAACTCGGCCTGCCAGTGGCGCTCAAAGTCCTGAGGGTCCCACATGCCGGGAGCCCCTTCGGGCCTCCGGGGCCCAGCTCCTCCGCGCGCAGCGGGTTGGTGTCGCGCGCGGCTTTCTCCGCGCTGGAGCAGTGGCCTGCCCTTCACTTCAGTCCCAGAAGAGAATAAGAAAAAAATAAAGTTTTTCCCCTTCCGCCCTCGTGCCGTTTTTCTTCTTCTTCTTCTTCTGGGTTTCGCCTCCCTGACGTCAGCGGCCACCGGCGGCGGCGGAGGCGGGCGCCTGGGCGCCCAGGGCCCGCCCCGGGCAGGACGCCCTGAGCCGGCGATCTGCAGTCCCCGCGCCTTGCCCTGCGCCCCGCCGGCTCCGGTGTCTGGAGAGCCGCGGCGGGGGCGGAGCCTCGCGGGCGAGCTCTGGGTTGCGCCGGCGGCCGAGAGGCTGCGAGAGGGCCTGGCACGGCGGGCCTGCGGTGCTGCCCACTCCAGAGGCGCCGGCGATACTCGAAGCTGGCCGCCGTAGGCCCGGCTCGCACCTTCCTGGCCTGTCGGGCTGCGCCGCTCCCGTCGCCGCCGGCGCAGTGCAGCCGAACGCGGGGCCGCGCGGCCGGGGAGGCGGGAGCGGCGGGGAGGGAGGGCGCAGGGTCGCCCTGGGCCGCAGCCAACCTCCGCTCGCCTGGCCCTCCACAGCCTCGCCTGTCCAGGGTCCGGGCGGCGCCTGGGGCCGAGAAGGAAAAGGTGGGGGAAAGGCGATGTGGCGCGGCGGCGAGGGCAGGTACTGAAGGGCTGACCGGCGGGGTTGTCCTCCGCTGGGATTTATGGAGCGCCTTGAACTAACTTGTCCAAAATCACGGAGCTGCTTAATCCAAAGCTGGGGATAAACCTGTTTTGTTTTGTTTGTTTTTTTGGTTTGTTTGTGTGTGGGTTTTTTTTTGTTTGTTTGTTTTTTTGAGACCCTTTAAAGCTTTCTCTCCACTGCTCACTAGAGCTTTTCGGGTGAGAAACAGGCAAGGGTGACAGCTCCAAGTGGCTCTGCTTAGAGGCCCCTGTGACTTCAAAGCTGAGGATCCTCCCACGTGACTTGGTGTGATGGAATCAAACCATGACTGGCAGGGGCCTTAGACACCTGGGCGTCTAAGAGGACCCTCCACTCTGCTTCCTCTTTGTGGCCTCAACAATTCCCCTGGGGAGGAGCTGGGTACCGGCGCCTGGCCTGACACTCCGGGTGGGGCGGATGGAGGGCTCCCGCCTCGCCTCCTCTTCACACCTGGCTGCACCACTTTTCTAGGGTCTTCGGTGAGGTCCCACTGTCTGCAGAGAGAGGGCCTGATAAACTGTCTCGCGCTCTCCTCAGGGGGGACCTCGTCGGTGATTCACATTTTCTTCGTTTTAAGGATGTTGGAAATTGATCCTGTAAGAGACTAAGTGACTTGGCAGCTGGAAATTCTTCCTGGCCACAATGCCCTTTGGGGACTGGAGCTAAACTCAGCGACCTCTTCTCTCCAGACCTGCCACTAGCCGCTCACTTGAACCATGTGAACAGGCCATCCCTCTCCCACCTTCCAATCCCTTTCAGCCTATCCCTCAAGGCTGGATATTGGAAAGATACCAGAAAGTATTTCTTAACCACAAATGAGATAGTATCATGCTTCTGTTCAAAACCCTCCGGTGGCAGGGACTTCCCTGGCGGTCCAGTGTTTGGGGCTTCGCCTTCCGATGCAGGGGGTGCGGGTTCGATCCCTGGTGGGGGGGCTGGGATCCCACATGCCTCGCGGCCAAAAAAAAAAAAAAACCAAAAACATAGAGCAGAAGCAGTATTGTGGCAAGTTCAATGGAGACGTTAAAGATGGTCCACATCAAAAAACAAAACAAAACAAAATCTTCAAACAAACAAAACCCTCCAGCGGCTCCTCATAACGCACACCTCCAGGATGGAGTCCAGACTCCACTGACAAAGGAGGTCCTCCCACATTTGGTCCCTGCCCACCTCTCTGCCTTTCTCCTAGGCTTTAGCCTTACCAGCTCCCTGCTGCCTGGGGGACTCCAACCCTCCTTTAAGGCCCAGCTCCACCTATGAGAAAACTTTTCCGGCCCCTCTCCCTCCTCTTTGTGTCACACTCCATCGTGTACGTGTCTTTATCTTTGCCCTTGTTCCACTTTATGGCAATTATTAGTGACATCTTTTGTTTCCCTTTCTCATAGCTGCTCTCAAGGTCAGGGATTGTATCTTTTCCAGTATTCTATTCTTGCTGCTTCTTGGAGAGTGTGACTGACAGATAGCTGATAATTGTTGAATGAAATGAATGAATGAATGAATGAACAGGCAGATGACCGAATCCTCACCTTGCAGTTCCTGCTTCGCTGCTCCAGTTGTGAATCACTCTGGGCTGGGAGCAGATGTGCTTCCCACAGACACTTCTCAACTCTGGAATTTCCTTCCTTGACAAAGTCTGTGTTTACTCACTTTCCCAATATCCCTTCTTCCTTTTTCTTTCTCTTTTCTTTTTCTTCCTTTCCTTCCTTCCTTCCTCCATCCCTCCCTCCCTCCCTTCTTTCCTTCCTTCCTTCCTTCCTGCTTTTCTTTTTAAATTTGGTGTGCCACTGGTATGACTCATCTCTGTGTTTGTCTTTGTGCTCGATTGCTATGGAGAAATGGATATGTTTTAAAAAACATTAGTTGCGTATTCCCCAGCTTGTGTGATTTCTCAGTCCTTCACCTAGTCCCTTAAGCTGCTCTCTCTTCCACCTTTGCTTCATATTTTGAAGAGACTCTCCCTACCTCCCTAGAGGCCACCACCATCTTTGTCTACTGGGAGGGATTGAGGTGCTCCCAATGCCTACAGCCAGCCAGTGCAGGGGTATTCCATCAAGTGGAGTCCACAAGCATCTTGGCCTCTGTTAAGATTTCAGAATGGGGGAGAAATGCAGCACAGCAGACATGGATAACCCCAGTCAACAGCGTATTGATTGGAAGATGTTTCCATATGTATATTTAAATGCACAAAGGAAAAAACCCTGTAAGTTACTATGAGCATCCATTTCTGAATTTGTAATTTCCCTGGGAGGATAGTTTCAACTCTGTCCTTTAATTAAAGCAGCAGTATGATTCCCTTTTTGTCCAAGGAACCTGTTACCAATACCACTAATTTTTTCCACGAGGACCAATATAGCCAGAAATGCCAGCATTCGTCATCTGTAAACAGATCCCAGGAGCAACCTTCATTGTCTCTAGCTGGTCGATAGTTCAGCTTTATTACTTGGCTTTGGGTCGTCATGGGGGCAGGGATAGAGTGGCTGACATTTATTGAGTCCACACTTCTAGTGGCCATGCATCTTTGATCTCATCTAATTTCAACAACAACCCTGTAAAGAAGGTACTATTGTCAAGATAGTGAGAGAGAGAGAGAAATGGAAGATCAAAGAGGTTAGAGGTCACACAGCTAATTTTCTGGAGTCTAAAGCTCAGTAGCTTTGCAAGGGCTTGGCCCAGGTGCATCTGGTCATTAGCATTTATTCATTCAATAAATATTTGTTGAGCACCTATTAAGCTCCAGAGCCTGGCAAATAAAGTTTAAACTTTGTAACCTGGCATATCAGACTCTTCACAATGGATCCTCTGACCCCAGCTTACTTGTCCAACCCCATTTCTTGAATTTCTTCTGCTTGCTGCACCCATTCAGGCCCCCAATCTGAGTCACCCACAGAGAAGATGCCTTTTCTGTTCTGTGCCACCTCCCTTTGGCCCATCTTGGATTTCTGCGGCAGCTGCAGTGGACAGTTCCCAAGGGCTGCTGGGGTCTCACCTCAAACACCCACCCCTACTACTCTCCACTCTTCTGTCCTAGGGCCTTTTCTCAAGCATCCCAGATGAAAGCTTCTATGGGGGGATGTTATTCCGGGGCATCCCATGGCCAGTGGAAATGGGAGTTGGTTAATAAATGCCGCAGGCTCCTGTCTTTGGAGGGCCTGAGGTATATTCTGCATGGTTGCTCAGTGGTCTCCAAGAGGAATGAGCCCCCACTGTTCACAGTGGTAATCAATCCATAATGAGCTCTCTATTGGCTTTCCCTTCTTGTCTGTCTCCCTCTCCCTCACTCCTGCTTCCTGGAATAATCTCCTGACTAAAATACTTGTACCGGGTCCTTGTGTCAGTCCCTGCTTTGCCCCTCTGGTCTCCCCACTAAGACACCCTCCAGCCTCCCCACACCCTCTCTGATAGCCACACAAGGCGCTTCACCGTTCCCCCAATTACTCCCCCATCTCTCTTGTCTTCCTTTGCCATGTTGCTTCCTCCTGTGTGAAAGGATGAGATCCCTTTTCACCTGCCCAAGCCCAGCTCACCTGTGACATTCTCTCTGAAGCCTTCCCTTCCCCAGGTCCAGTTAGGCATGCTTGTCTACAGAGGGATTTAACTTAGTCACGCCACATTGTAATTAGTTCCATGGCTCCTTGAGGAAATCCTGGCTCCAGCCAGCTGGTACCTCTTATTCCTCCTACTGCCACAGCCCCTGACACGGTGCCAGAGTCAGTGCCTAGTACATGTCTACTAAGGGAATAAATGAATGATGAATGAGTGAGTGGACTCTTTACACAATAACCTCACGCTATCTTAAATCAGGACCACCCTCACCCAAAGGAAAAGTGGGAAGACACCTCTGAGCTCATGCTGTCAGGAACTCTGCTTTTTACAAAATTCCTTTAGATTAACAAGCAGCCTCTATGGAAATATAAAATGTGACTATCAGTCATTCACACTTCAGTGTGAACTGCTTCTCCCTTGCTTTTTCCAGAGTTATCTGAGGTTCGTATTAGAGGGCTGGGAGTTTGGACTAGGAAGGAGAATGGAAGCAGAGTGCAGCCGGAAGGAGAAGGGTAACCTGGGGAGGACTGGGCTAGGATGAGGCCTGCATCTTTGAGTGCTAAAGGTGTGAACACAGAAAAAAGGCCCCTCTTTTGGGGGACCCTCTCTACCAGGCTTGCTTCCTCTAATGCAGGAGTTCTCCTGAGTACAAATTAGAATAACCTGGGGGAGCAATTAAGACTATTCAGCCTTGGACTTGCTTCAATGCCAATTCATCCAGAATCTCAGGAATGGGACCCCACATCGGTATTTTCTTTTCTTTTTTTTACCTTTATTGAGGTATAATACAATAGGTTCATTTGTTTTAAGTATGCAGTTTGATGAATTTTGGTAATTGCAAACCATCATGTGTGTAATCTCCACATTAAACAACATACAGAATAGCTCCATCACCCTCAAGAGTTCCTTCCTGCTTTTTTGCAGTCAACCCCTTTTCCTGACTCCCAGTACCAAGCAATAATTGGTTTCTATAATTTCTGTCACTATAGTTTTGCCTTTTCTAGATTTTTGTATGAATGAATGTATCTTTGGTGTTTGATGCTGAAGTTCAGTGTCCTATTTTTGAGTTTCATCTGTTATGTGTATTTATATTTCATT